CGTGGTCTAACGGTTATGACTGCGGATTCTGATTCCGCCAGCGAGGGTTCGACTCCCTCCGAGACCTTTACTTTTGATGGAGTTGACGACTTCTTTTTCCTTTTGCTTTGAGTATAAATACTCGCGAAATTCGGTAGCGTTGTGGGTATCTGGGGTCCACTTAAAAGGTTGATGCAAGAGTGTGGAAAAGCGGGTCGCATGCTAAGTCAGCAACACACCTCTCTATCGCCGCATCATATCCTACTGAGCCAATCACAAGCTGATTTGCCAGGTGATTTGACTCCATAGGCGCTACCGAATTCCATGAATTGATACGGTTCTCTTATTGTCATCTTGTTTGATTTGGTATTGGAGTTGCGATATCGGTGTGACTAGAACAGTCGTATAATCATGAGGTTGTAGTTGTGTAACTGGTTAGTTGAACCTTTAATACTACAAAGATTATACGAATAACTATACCAAGTACTTGCTCGAGTCAGAATCCTTGCTCTGTGAATTGATGATAAAAGTTGCCGTGGTTAACTAGGTTCACATGTGGAATCAATTGAGGAAGACAAGTTAGTGTTGTCATGACTCCAATACACAAATCAAGGAGCAACACTTCAACTCCAGCATCAGCAAACCTATATAATTGAATCTTTCAGCTAGTCTTTTCATTAACAGTTGAGAATCTTGGTAGTTGACTTTCATTAGCAGATCAGTCTTAAAACAGTCATGTCATGTCAAGACTATGGCGCTATCTCCGTGCTAAGTCCTGTCGTAAACCCCATACTTATCTTCTTCGGCACCCTCCTACAACCGAGAACAATTACTAGTTATTGGTCATCTCCAGGGCGGGGGAATCTGAGTCTAGTTTAGTCCCATCTTTTTTCGCAAAAGTCGGCATCTTCCAAAGGCACTTTTAAGACCGAAATATGTTGCAGTTTGTCCTGCAGCGGGTTCATTCTTCCGCATATAACAAACACCCCGGTCCAGTCTCGTTTAAGGGATTGACTCTTGGCCTCCATTCTGTCAAGGGTCAGAAAACATTAATTACAAATCGGGTTTCTCTTTGTTTTCTTCTCTTTTAAAATATAAAGAAATCCATAAACTTGTAATCGTTTTCTTTCCATCCCGAAAACGGCCTCCGAAGTGTCTCTACATCTTCGGAGTCGGCCGATACCCTGCATCCGAAATCATGAAGTCTGAATCCGAACAAGAGAAAAAGCGGGAGGAAGAGGTTGATAATCAAGATGAAAAGATTAGCCTCGGAAGAGATGAAGAATCTCAACGCCCTCCTACCTCTGGATCAACCTCTAGTAAATCAGAGCACCATGTTCAACAAGACACCATCGAACCTATTATGCTAGGCGAACCCCTGGGTCATATAGATACTCGACCGTCTGTTAAGCGTGCCCAATCCAGAGCCTCGTCTGCACGATCAAAAGCTCGTTCTGTTGTTCCCAGATCACAAAGACGTGGTCTACTTGCAAGATTTACCTTCGTTCCAGAGATTGAGTATCCTCCTAATTACAAAAATTCGACAAAATGGTGTTTGACTGCCATTGTTGCATTGGCTACTGCTGCTGCACCTCTAGGATCTACTGTTGTATATCGTAAGTCTTACCTTGCCCCCAAATACACAAAAGACTAACGAGAAAGCTGCTCTTCCTGTCCTAGTTGACGAGTTCAACACTACCGAGACAATCACCAATCTTTCAGTCGCCCTCTACATGATCTCCATGGCCATATTTCCACTATGGTGGTCCTCCTTCTCTGAAGAATTTGGCCGTAGGTCTATCTACCTCATCTCTTTCAGTCTCTTCGTCATCTTTTCCATCCTCTCAGCCATCAGCAAGAACATCACCATGCTCATCATCTTCCGCATGTGCGCCGGTGGCGCCTCTGCAAGCGCCCACACCACAGGTGCAGGTTCCATAGCCGACCTGTTCGAGGTACATGAGCGCGGAAGAGCCATGAGTATCTTCTACCTTGGTCCTCTTCTGGGACCCATGATAGCTCCAGTCATTGGTGGTGCACTGACACAGGAGATCGGGTGGCAGGCGACCATGTGGTTCCTTGCCATCTACGGACTTGTCGTGCTTCTCATGATTCTCTTCTTTCTACCAGAGACGTTGAAGCGCAAGCCTGAGGCTGTCTTGCCGACTGCAGACACTCAAGAGCTTAGTCGGATGCGTACCATGGATTCTGCAAAAGTCAAGACCAAACATCTTGCCAAGTCTGCGCAAAGATTCCTCGTCGATCCTCTTGGAGTTCTTCTCTATCTTCGCTTTCCACCTGTTCTCATCACAGTGCTCCTTGCCGCCATTGCTTTCGGATCCCTCTACGTTGTCAACATCGCCATCCAGCAGAAATTCTCCCGCGAACCGTACAACTTTGGTCAGCTTTCTATCGGTCTCATGTATATCCCTGGAGGAATGGGCTACATCGTTGGCTCCTTGTCTGGGGGGCGTTGGATTGACAAGATTATGGCTAGAGAGGCTCGGAAAGCTGGTCGCTACGATGAGAACGGGAAGCTGATATATCTTCCTGAAGATCGCATGAGGGAGAACGCTTGGGTTATGACAACCATGTACCCACTCGCGCTGCTGATGTTTGGTTGGGTTCTTCGATACGGTTTACATCCTGTGGTGCCAAGTGTTGCCCTTTTCCTATTCGGAATTTCCTCTATGCTTGTTTTTGTAAGTTTCCCCTTTCTTTATTCTACTACTCTTACTAACATACATTTCTAGTCTGTTGCTACAACTATGCTTACAGAGCTTATCCGCAAACGAAGTTCTTCAGGTGTCGCAGTTAACAACTTTGTTCGCAATACACTCAGTTGTATCGGAGCCATTGTTGCTGCTCCATGGATCAATTCCATTGGTACTGGGTGGGTATTCACGATTCTTTGCATATGTTGTCTGATTATTAGTTATATCAGTATCATTCTGCTAAGAAAGAATGCCACCAAGTGGAGGAAGACCATGGATAAGGCACTGGATCAGTAAAGCACAATATCAGAGGAGAAACTCATATTGGCAATATTTTACAGAAGATGATTTTTTATAAACTCATAAATAACACATGATCATAATACATTCAAAACCTATTTGTCACAAATCGTTGCTCTTCTAAATCTACGCAAATAGCTTGCCGACTGTATCAAGGCCAACATTACCACCACTAAACACCAATCCGAGATCCCATCCCTCTTCTCCAGCCTCCTTCTCAACCGTTGATCTAAAGTCTTCATCGTACAGCGCCACGGCCAGCGGAACGCAAGCACTGGGCTCAACGACGAGCTTGAATCGCTCAAATACCAGCTTCATGGCTGACAAAATCTCATCCTCAGTGACACTATATATGCCTGACACTAGGCGGCGTTCGTAGATTACCGACCAAGGATGCACTCCAACAGGAGTGCGCAGTCCGTCGGCAACGGTGAGAGTCTTGACGGCTTCGATGCGAGAGCCTGACTCATATCCACGCTTGCCATCGTCGGCTCCTTCAAAGGATGGCTCTGAGCCAAAGACGCGGATTCCAGTGCCTTCGCAGCTGAGAGCTACGCCTGAGAGCATACCGCCACCACCTAGCGGTGTCATGATAGCATCCAGACCTGGCTCCTCCTTCTTTGTACGTGGTGCCTCGTTATCCCTTCCAGTCGAAGGCGCCCGAAACAGTTTTCTTTGACCGTCAACCACAGCGTCAGTTGTCATCAACTCAGCGACTTGCTGCTGAAACTCCAATCCCATGGTTCCCTGGCCGAGCATGATATCTGGGTGGTCATAAGGTGGGATGAGGCGAGCACCTGTTTCGGCAATGACCTTTGCAGCCATGGCTTCACGCTCAGTTGATGTGCTCCCGCTAAAAATAACGCGAGCACCATAGCCTTTTGTACCGGCAATCTTCTTGGGGTTAGAGATCTCGGGCATAACAATATGGGCCTTGATACCACTCTCACGAGCAGCAAGGGCCAGCGCCTGAGCATGATTTCCTACAATAGTCAATCAGTATACTTGACCGTCAAATAAATGAGATATCTTACCGGAACTATGCGTGACAACTCCCTTCTCTTTACCCCCTCCCTCCAACCATCCAGGCTCTTGCTTTAATCTCTCAACCGCATGAAAGGCGCCTCTAGCTTTGAAAGCTCCTATGCGCTGCATATTCTCACATTTAAACCAGAGTCTCAACACCGGGCGGGCCGGTGTCCTTCCAGCATAGCGAGTTCCCTCAAGTTCCTCCGCTGTGCGAGGGGTTGAGGCAAGTTTAGTGATGGTCCGGTTGGTGAGAACTGGCGTATAGTGGACGTATTGGCCGATGAGTTTGTGAGCTTCAATGACTGAGTCACGAGTCAGAGGAGGAGTTGTAGAGATGTCGGTCATGATGCAGTAGATTTCGCAATGCAATGATGATAGGTATAAGTGATGAATGCGTGTTTTCTTACACTAAAGAAAGAGTATGAGACGATATGAAGAATCTCCAATGTTCTTATAATCAGCGATCTCCGGCCCGCTGTCGGCAATTGTAGTCCAGACTTCCTATTTCGGTATGCAAGTCTTGCCGCCGAGAATAATTTGTGGTGCTTGTCATGTTAAAGGCGCGACAAGACAGCATCAAAAGACTCAATCGGTACCAATGGAACAGTGAAGAATCGATTAGGCATTTCATCAAACAAGTGTCTTTAACGCCCAGAATGCCAGAATGCCAGAATGCTAGGAAGATATAGTGTAATACATTGTGCAATATATTGGCAGGCGTTTTCCTTCTTTCGTACTGTTTATTGTTTATTCAGTTCACTTTTAATTCAGAGAAACAATATTTAACTTTCAAATAAAAATGGTATTCGTTTGGCTGCCAGCCTCATATCAACTTTTGGATCAATCCAGATCCCCCTCCAGAGCCCAGGAATTTTTTAAAAAGTACAAAAAGCTCATGGTTCATAATAAGAAAAAAGCCGTTTCCCAGACATATCCTTTCCCGCTCACAAATTCATCATATCAACATCATTAACTGGTTTACTTCTGGTTCTCGGGTCGGAGGCTGCGGACAGCCTTGCCGGCGCGCCAGATCTCGAGCTCGCGAATCTCCTTCATCTCGGCCTCGTACTTCTCACGGTAGTCAGGCTGGCTGTTGTACTCGAGAGATCGCTTGGTCTCGGAACCATCCTTGACGGCGTCGTAGAGGGAGTTGAAGACGGGCTTCAGAGCATCCTTGAACTTGGGGCTCCAGTCGATGGCACCACGGCGGGCGGTGGTGGAGCAAGCCTCGTACATCCAGTCCATACCGTTGGCACCGATGAGAGGGTAGAGAGACTGGGTAGCCTCCTCAACGGTCTCGTTGAAGGCCTCGCTGGGGGAGTGGCCACGCTCACGGAGGACCTCGTACTGAGCAAGGAACATACCGTGGATACCGCCCATGAGACAGCCACGCTCACCGTAGAGGTCAGAGTAGACCTCCTTCTCAAAGGTGGTCTGGTAGAGGTAACCGGAGCCGATGGCGACACCGAGAGCGATAGCCTTCTCCTGGGCCTTGCCAGTGACGTCCTGGAAGACAGCGAAAGAGGAGTTGATACCACGGCCCTCACGGAAGAGGGATCGGACGGTTCGGCCAGAGCCCTTGGGGGCACAGAGGATGACGTCGATGTTGGTGGGGACCTCGACCTTGGTAAGGTCCTTGAAGACGGGGGAGAAACCGTGGGAGAAGTAAAGGGTCTGTGAGGAAGATCTGTTAGAGAGATGTCTTCGTTGATCAAAAAGTGAGGGGTTGTACGTACCTTGCCCTCAACGAGCTGGGGCTTGATGGCGGGCCAAGTCTCAGACTGGGCGGCATCAGAGAGAAGGTTCATGACAATGGTACCACGGGAGATGGCCTCGTCGACATCGAACAGGTTCTTGCCGGCAACCCAGCCATCCTGCTCAGCGTCCTTCCAGGACTTTCCGTTCTTTCGGACACCAACAATGACGTTAAGGCCGTTGTCACGGAGGTTAAGACCCTGGCCGTGACCCTGAGATCCGTAACCAATGAGGGCCAGAGTGTCGTTCTTGAAGTACTCAAGGAGCTTCTCTTGGGGCCAGTCGGCACGCTCTGTTGTGCACGAGTCAGTATGTGCATCCAATACCCCATAAACTGAGGGGTTAGGTTGGAATTAAAGTTGGAACTTACCATAGACGTCCTCCTTGTGGCCGGCAAAGTCCATGGTCTTGACACCACGAACCTGCTGCTGGATAGGAGCAGCAACAGGTCGGGCAACAGCACCAGCACGGACAGCAGCGCGAGCAGCAGAGACGAAAGTTCGCTGCTGAACACGGGGAGCGGAAGCAAGCTGGCGGGCAGGGCCACGGAGGGCCTTTGAGATATTGCGAGAAGCCATTGTGATGATGTGGAGGGAGGGAGGGCTCTGAGATTGAGGGGAGAGTGTCTGAGAAGAAGGATGAAGAGAAGGAGAAAAGACTCAATTGCAATGGCGAGACCAAAGGTTAAGTAGTGAATAGGTTGGTCAAGCTGTAGGTAATTTTTGGAGGGGAAAGGGCTATGACCGATTTCGGCTTGTACGTAGGTGAAGTCAAGTGGGGCTTCGTACGCTGAACAGCGGGGATTTGGTGTCTTGGTCTGGGGGGTTTGTGGGTACCTTTGATACCTAGAACTTGGAGAAATGAACGATTTCACATTGATTTAGTGATGAGAGGTTGGTTTCGGCCAATTAGCAGTGACATAATATCTGTTCAACCACACAAAGCTGACTTTTCTCTCGTCAGCGGCCGTTTTCATTCTGTTTGACCGCCAGAGATGAGTAGAGTCTCAATTGACTCAATTGGCTCGTCTCACACAAGTCTGCATATCAACAATTCCTCACAATACGCACAAACCCTAAATCAGAAGTAATTGCGTGGCAAAATGAAGCACGACTCTTGCCCGCACTATCTCAAGCTATCCCAGCTGCAGTAGACGGGGTAACATAAAAGCGGACCCCTTCATCTTCCCGGAGAACCTCTAGCGTCCCCGAATAAGCCGCACATCGTCCGACAGGCAAAACCTCACGGCCGATACAGGCGCCTTATCCAATGAGAGACTTTAGAATTCAACCATACCCACGGGAGGCAACGGCAGAGCACCGTAGTCGGGGTCCTGCCCCTTGATCAAACTGCATATCGGGGCCTCATCTCGTACTCCGGTTAGGATAGCACGTCAGACAGAGTCTAGATCTGCCTCAAGTTTGACTCTTTGAAACTCCACTTACTCCGGGTTACGGACTCTTAGCACCTCGATGATCGAGGGTATGCCAGAAAGCTTGGGACTCCAAGTTACAAGCAAAGAAAATAAACAAGCAAGCGGCTTGCCAAGAATCCCGTAGAACGGTTGAATAATATCGTCTCCCATGTCATCAGTCATTAAACTTTCTGTCACATCAATGGTTGAGGCTCAACTACGTTCTACTCCACGTCCCTTGGCGAGATGCCATGACAAGCCATTCAGGTCCCTTCCCATTATTGAACCGCGGCAATTATTCATCCCAGTAACCAATAGAGAGATGTAGAAGCAACCCTCAACCTTGACAAACTCGCCAGCACGTGTAGAACCGTATAATCTCCGTAGCTTGAGACCGTCAGATTTATGTGTATATATATCTCCAATTCTACCCCGCCTCCGTCCGATTCTCAGCAGACACACCCCTCATCAAGCCATACATAGAACGCCTTGGGGATAATAAGCAAAGCCTGCTCCGGATTATAGACCCATAGGACGCCACGTGATGCTCTTTCGTCTCCGATGATTGTCGTTCGTCGTATCAAAACGCTCATTGAAGTCGTTCTATCATCTCAAGATCCCCGATTGGGCTCTTTGCCTCCGTAGTTGTTCATCCCAAAATCGTGTTGGTATTCGTTCTTCGGCACGCTCTCTATTTGAGGACCCTGTCGTAATTCGTGCCTTTAACCACTCCACCTCCCATAGCAGTCCTCACATTGCGCTTGAAGCCTTCCCGGTTGTTTCGTAGATCCTCAGCGGCCTCCTTATTCAGCGGGTCCGATGCGTTGGGTTCGAGGAAAAGGAACTGCGACCTGTTAGTCATGCTACCCCAGACTTTGTATGTACTTGGCCTTTTCCCCTTGCCGACGTATGGCGTGCGGGGCTTTTGTTTCTAGGGGTTCCTATACCTGTAGGCCAACAATCACTGCGTTCAAGTTCAACACAGGCTTCCAGTCCTCTCGCAGAATATTCAGGCACACCTTGCCCTCAAGATCGATGTTGGGATGGTAAATCTTTTCTCGGCATCGAACTTTGGGAGGCTCGTGTGGGAAGTTCTGGTTAATGGTAAAGTCGAATGTGAACCGACCGTTTCGGTACATGCCCTCATCAGGGTCGATGGTAAGGACAAAGTTGAGAATATCGTCAGGATCAGGGAACTCTGTCTTCATCGTCGAGCCGAGGGAAAGTTCTGAAAGATCTGCAATAGTCTGTGTCAGCTGTTTCTCGGTCTCAGGGTCAGGAAACATTGAGCCATACCCTTTTGCACGCGCAACTGGGCTGCGGTCACCTTCTTCTTCTTACCGCCAGAAGCTTGACCTTCAGCGTTCTCTGCATCTTTCTGCTCCTTTTTCTATACACAAGTGTCAGTGCCCAACCGTGATAGGAATTACTACCGGCTGGCTGCTTACCATCGACCATATCTTCAACATTATGAACGTGGGGGCCCAAGGTGGGCTGTGTCGTATGCGCTGCTAAGAGGAGATCTTGGACAAGACAACAGAAGGCAAGCTGTAGTCCTTCTTATATATTTAGCAAGTCGAAAGAAAGGTTAACTCGAAAAAGGTTGCGCGGCGGAAGTCTAAAAGGTTGGTCGTGAGAGCGTTGGTCGGAGTTCAAAGAAGGGTCTAGACGTGCTTAGTAGAAAAGGTGATGATGCTTGATAAGATAGCACAGCGTAAGGCAGCCAGAGTGCCTAAAGATTCTCGAACCCCACCGAGGTTTAGGCGGTACCAATTGAATAACGCATCAGCCTCTATGAGCAGTTCAATCATGGGAGGACAAAGCCAAACTTCTTTCAGGATAAAGTTCATTTCTTGATGTTTACAAAAAATCATATCATTCAAATGCGTCATAAACCCTCAGGGGCAGATGCCAATCTGAAAAAGACTAAATAGAGAATACACCTGCGCATATCTAGGACCGCCCCCGAATACCTTCACTCCAAATGTGCTCTTTTGTTGATGTGCCTCCATTAAATACTCAAAACCCAGCGTACGTTACATAACAAAGGTATCTGATACAAAAATCCAGCTTGTCTAATGTGACAAGTGCCAATACTTTTTCGTAGTTGGCCTCTCCAGAATAGGAGACAGTGTCGAATGCAACATGCGCAGATACGGACGCCGCTTAATTTCTTGAGAAACAGCACATGATACCAGTCCTGCCGAGGAACCACAAGAAACCGGCAAAACGAACAAGCGAGAGCACGGCAGTAGCGTACAGAAGGAACTGGAAGTAATGCGCCTTTCGTTCTGTGGCAGGTTCCTGTAACGTTGTTAGTATTCGGTGAATAACTCGATAAGAATGGAAAACTTACACCCCATCCGAGGTTGTCAAAGTTGGTGCTGGTAATGCAAACAATGAGAAGAATGTTTCCAAACAACCAGCAGACGACGAGACCGGTTCGGAAAGACTTGTATCCATCCTCAACATCGGCCGCCTCGACCTCCTCCTCCTCCTTGAAAGGAGCGAGAGCACGGCGGACAGTTTGCTCAAACTGACTGTCAATATCCTCCTGCTCCTTCTCAACTTCTTCAACAACAACCTCGTTCTTCTCACCCTTGGTAACGTGGGCAGAGGGAAGAGCCTCAGCCTTGTCCGAACCCTTGGTACCCCAGGAAACATCGTGCCAGTTGTTGAATGCGTAAACCATAAGAATGTTGATGTAAGTTGACATGAGAACCAGGTAGTAAGGGAAGGAGTGGAACATGTGCCAAGGGTCGAGGTACATGAACGAAGCAATAAAGTTCAGTCCGTAAATGGTAATAAGAGCGACCAAAATAACACCACCAGCGCTTGAACCGCCGAAGAAACTGTCCAAGAAAGCGTCAGTCGAAGCAAACGAGATCTGGTCTCCAATAGGTGTGTCAAAGGCGCGAACAACCAGGTAACCGGACAGAACCAGGATGTAACCCTGAATAAGAGCAAAGACCATGAACGAAGCAATGTAAGTAAACTTGGAACCCTTGGGTCTGTTACCCAGAGCCAGAATGAACTGAAGCATAACAAAGGCCAGATAGAGGTATTGAAGCAGAGCGTTGACAACAGGAGTACCGGTGTCACCAAATGGCCAGGCGTGGACTCCAGAGGTAGCATTGGGAGTACCCACAAGGTCCATGATGACGGATGTTGTAAGCCAGTAAGAGCCGAGAGAGAACCAAGCGAACATAGTGTTGAGAGTCGTGTAGATGAGCTGAATGTGGAGGAAGAACATGCGGATGATGTTATGACCCGACTTGTACATTCGACCGAAGTGCATCAGCGAGTACAGAGTAGCAGCGAATGAACCGTTGAGCCAACGACGACGCTGACTGATGAATTCAGCAGCACCTTCGGGTACATCAGTTTCACCCTTGGCAGCCTTGATATAAGACAAATGCCACTTCTGGCCAGCCTTGGCGACCAGCTCGAAACACAGAATACGATCCTCGGCCAAGAACATGTTCTTCTTGAAAATGTTCATACCGTCGATACCCTTCTTACCAAGCATCTTAGACAAGGTATGATCACCATGGAAATACTGTTCCAAAGGACGGCCCATGATGGCACGAAATCGATACGCAGAGAAAGCACCGGGCAACACACTAACGTAACCGAAAGATGACTCGAGAGGCTTGTCGAGAATGTTGGAGATCTTGTACTCGAAGTTCTGGACAGCAACGAGGGGGTTGAACAGCTTCTTGCCGCCCTTACCCAACATGGCGTGAATTTCACCACAAGCACCACCAAGATCCTTGTCGTTGTAGAAACCCTCCCAAAGAGCGAGGAGAGATCGGGGACTGGGCTTGGTACCCGCATCAAGCAGAATACACACCTCGGGGTTCAGGATACGACCGAAGGCGTTGAAGAGCCATCGATGAGAGTTGATCTTCTTGGTGTTCTTCTGCTTCAAACAGAACATCATCTGAACTGGTGGCAGGTTCTGGGAACCCTCGTTTGTAGGTCGGATGAGCTGCTGGTTGGGGGTGACGGAAAGCTGGGTGGTATATTCGAAGATGTGTGCGACGGTCTCCTTGCCGTCGACATCCTTCTTGATAACACCATCCTGGTAAACACCTACAGTGGCAAGAACATCGAGGGTGTTCTTGTCCGCCTTGTCGATACCGTCGAAAACCAAGCAGACAA